ACTTTCCGTTCACTCATAAATGGTTTTGACGAACTGTCTTCATCGTGTGACTTGTCATGCGGCAAGGAATATGTCACCTTTTCGGACCCACCCCAATAGACATTTGGGGTCTACTCAAAATTGGGCTAAAAGTTGGCCCAAAATAAGCTTATAAAAAACTAATTTTCCAACAAAATGTGGATACATTTTTTAGCGTGGAACCGTCCGTGGCACTAAGCCATGTGGATATTTAACACATAACATTAGGCTAATAAGAAGCACAAAACAATTTTGATAAAATAAACAAGGGATACATAAACAATTAGCTCCTATATTCAATAGTTTCTCAAAATGCACAACACAGTATTGAGAAGTGCTTGTCCAATGGTCTAAGATCTACTCAAATCCATTTATATCCATATTCCCCTTTTAGATTATGGGAGAGGCAATAGAATATTTAGCTCCTCAGACAGATGCTATATAGATGTTCATTACCTCCATAGCTGTTGCTTGAGAGCACTTGTTCAACCTAGGCCTGTCAACGGATCGAGTATAACCTGAATTTGATCCGATTAACTTGATCCATTTATACAAATCCAAATCCGAATATCTGTTTAATCCGTATCTGCGTAGCCCGATTCAAAACGGGTTCAGATAAATCCGATCCGATCCATTTGTTTGCCCAATCCGACTATATTGAATTCCTAGAAAGAAATTAGGGTAGTGTTTGGTAGAGTTTTTTAAATATGATTTGAGAATAGAGTTGTATTTTGAGTTTGTGAGTTTTGGAATTATGATTTGAGTGTAGAACACTTGTTTGGTTATGGTTTTTGAATAGAGTGTTGAATTGAGTTTTGAATTGTATATGGAATTGAGTTTTGAAAGTTTGATGTGACATGTGAAATAAGAAAATTTGTTTGGTGATGAGTTTTCAAAATAGTTTTCAAAACTTAATTCAAATTGTTATAATTCATAACCAAACACACTACTTAAAACTCTATTGAAAATTCTGATCAACATTCATAACCAAACTTCTTATAAAAATTCAATTAAAAAAATTAATTATTAACAGAAAATAACATTAATCAATTTTTTTAATTAAAAATATTAAAAAAATTATCAACATAACCAAAAAATTATCAAATAATAATAATAAATACGTATAAAAAATCATACATTATCAAAACTACTTCATTATATTTTTTTATTCAAAATTTTTTTAATTTAATTTTTAAAAAAAATATTTTTCATCCGATTTCTAATATAAAAATGTGGGCTCTCTACCCAACAACACGTCCATTGTCTCTGACTCCACCTCTCTTCAAAGTGTTAATGTGCTGTTAATATAAGAAAGAGGTATACATACATATATAGAGATAGAGAAACAGAGAGTGTAGAGTTTCTTCGGACAAGGCAAAGTGTAGAGGTGTTTGAAGTTTTCCAAGTACCAAAGTAGAAGAAACGAAGTTGGGTTATGAATGAGTAAGACTTTACACCATTTCTACTACTCTCTCTCTCTCTCTCTCTCTCTCTCTCTCTCTTTCTCTCTCTCTCTTGATGGAAGCTTCAGAGACTGAAGACATGCTTGTTTATCATCTATCAAAGAGTGTCGGTTGACCGGCCGGTCAATTAGCCGGAAGTCCGGCTGGACGACCGGCTAAGTTATTTTTTCCCAAATCAAAGAACTCATTCCACCTTCTCAGCTATTTCACACCAGATCGATTGAAGGATATACGTATCAGCTGTGAAGCATCTTCAATGTGAAGCTTTTTAGAAATAAAGAAAACCAAAGAGAGAATATGTACGTTGCGAAAAGTGGAGAAAACGAAACGGAGAGGAATCTGCCAAACGGGGAAAGAGAATTACATTTTCCAATGTGAGGTGAAATTACATTTTAAAAATTCTATCCAAACATGAAATTGAAATGGAGGGGTGGAAATACATTTACAGAATACAACCAAACACAGCCTAGATCTCTCATAATCAAATCTCTCTCTCTCTCAGCGTCGCTTTCATCATCTCTTATCGCAGAATTTGAAAAGTGCATTAGGTTTGAAATCAGATCTCTCATAATCAAATCTCTCTCTCATCGTCTCTTCCTGCTCCGATTGATGACTATGAACTTAGCCAAATCGAGTTCTCTGTTGTTTATGATCTAGGTATTCTTTGGTGAGCTCTCTCGTCCTTATCAAATCTCTCTTTCTTCGTCTTCTTCTCCGACTTCGACGAAACAAGCTCAGATCAGGAGTGCTCAAAATCAAACTATTTCAGGTAATTGACTTTCTAAGCTTTCTCTGAATTTTTGGCTTTGATTTTTGTTTTGTTTTTGATTTCTAAGCTTGGGCTTAGGTTCCTCTAGTTTTTTGACGATTGATGTTCTTCGAGTGGATCTAGTGTATTTATTTCAAATTTTTGTTTTAAGGGTTTATGGTTGTGCTTCGTTTGTGTTTGCCATTGTATCTGCTTTTTACTGCCCCGTGCTTGTGTTTCTCCTTTATATAAGAGGTCTGGGTTGCTTGTTTGAATGGAAAATCAAATTCTGAAACATTTTCTTGGATGTTTTTGGGACTATTTTAACAAGTCTAGGAACCAAACATAGAAAATAGTTCTAGTTATACACACATCAAATGGCAAGACCTGCTATTAAAGAGACCATTTTACTCTAATTGTGTTAACTACTTTTTTTTTTCTCTGGTTGATTTTGTGATTAGTTTTGTGTTTTCAGACTTATTAATATTATTTTCATGGGTTTTATTAGGCCGATGTGTATTTTTTTAAATATATTTTTGTTAGGTTTAATTTTCTACATGTAGTAGACCAAGTCTAGAAGAAAAAGTAGATAAACAATTTTTCCGTTGCATCTGAATAAATTTTTTTTTTCATAATTTACATGCATAAGTAGACATTTATACTTGCGGTGTTTTTTTTAGTAGTTTGGATGCGAGGAAAAACATAGAATCTGCAAGAAAATTAGAGCAGAAAGATCAGAGTTTTATTTTTATCTTTCATCTCCAAAAACCATTCAGAGCAGAAAAATCTAGTTAGCTGAATTTGTACATAACTTCAGTCCTAAATTTGTACAATTTTGGTTCTATTTTGGTGCTGAATTTGAAAGATCCTGCATCAATTATTTATGTTTGATTTCTTGTGCAGTGCATATTTGAGTTTTTGAGCCAAAGATGTCTTTGGATTATAGCGAACCTATTATTGCTGATGATGCCGAGTTGGATGACGATGTATCTCAAGGACCCACAAAGAGGGTTCGAAAACTAACTTCAAAGGTATGGAATGACTTTGTCAAATTTAAAGGACCTAATATAAATGACATAGCTAGATGTAAGCATTGCAATGGGGAATTTGTTGGAGAGAGTAGGAAAGGGACTAGTCATTTAAAAAATCATTTGTCGAAGACATGTCCAGTACTTAAAGGACCAAATGCCCCTAGGAATGCTAGTAAGGCTGCTTCTGAATCTACTCCTAAGGCTGCAACTTTTAAATTTGATCAAGAGAGAAGTCGTACGGATTTTTCTAGGATGGTAATCAAGCATAATTATCCTTTTAACATGGCTGAGCATGAATTTTTTGAAATATTTTGCAATAATCTTCAACCAATGTTCAAACTTGTTTCTCGTAACATTGTTAGGGCGGATGTCCTTGATGTTTATGAAATAGAAAAGGCTAAGTTATATCAATTTTTGGATGAACTCTCTTCTAAGATCACATTGACAACTGATATATGGACTTCAGACCATTAGAATTTTGCCTATACATGTTTGACTGCTCATTATGTGACTAATGATTGGGAGTTAAAGAAGAAAATCCTTGCTTATAGACGCATTGATTACCCGCATGATGGAGACCATTTGCTTAGCTTTATCAAAGATCTAATTTTAGAGAGGAACATAGATAAGAAGTTGTTTTCAATGGTAGTCGATAATGCAACAAGTAATGATGTCATGGTGAGACTTTTAAAACGATGGCTACGTGACCAAGGATTACTTAATTTGGGTGGACAATTGTTTCATGTGCATTATAGCATGCACATATTGAATTTAGTTGTTCAGGATGGTTTGAAGGTGATTGGGAGTCTTATTTCAAAAATTTGAGAAAGTGTGAGATATTTAGGGGGGTCTCCTTATGGAAAACAAAAATTTGATGTTGCAGTGAATCATGTTAAGTTACATCATAAAAAGAAAGTCCCCATGGATGTTCCTACCAGACGGAACTCCACTTATTCAATGCTTGAAGCTACATTAGATTTGAAAAGTGCATTCCACCGCTTAGGGCAAATTGACAAACAATATAAGCACAATCCTTCTGAGGATGAGTGGAATGTAGCAAATGTGATTTGTGGGTGCTTGTAGATTTTTTTTGATGTTACATCTCACTTTAGTGGTACCACTTTTCCTACTTCAAATGTGTTTTTTCCCGATATTTGTCTTATTCAACTTGAAATGAAAAAAATGGGAGCAAAGTGAGTATGATTGCATTCAATTGATGGCCGGTCCAATGAGAGTGAAATTTCAAAAATATTGGGAAGAATATTCTTTGGTGTTAGCAATTGCAGTGGTTCTCATCTGAGATTTAAAATGGACTTCGTGGAATACTACCTTGGGCTTGTTTATGGTGCTGATGCTAATAAGCATATTCAGAGGGTCCCTAATAGTTTTGTTGATCTTTTTTATGAGTAGAGGAGTGATTCTTATGATTCTATGAGTTGCATTGCACTTGTTTCTGAAAATAGTAGCACAAGTAGTAAATTGCTTGTCGGTTCTTCGAAACAAGAAAGTTTGGCAGCTTTTCATACGTGGTATGCCCAAGAACGTGCTTCTAACATTCATGCCTATCAAAAATCAGAGGTGGAGCAATACTTGGAGGAGTTGGTGTTTCCAAGTAATAAGAGTTTCAATATTCTACACCGGTGGAAAGTGAATAAAGCAAAATTTTCCACTTTGGCAAGGATGGCTCGTGATATTTTAAGTGTTCCAGCTACTACGGTTGCATCAGAGGCGGCGTTTACTGTATGAGGTAGGGTGATTGATGAGACACGTGCTTCATTACTTCCAGATATTGTGGAGGCCTTGATCACTTGCAATGATTGGATTGAATCAACCAAAAATAGAAGTGAAATATTGAAGTTTTTAAATAATTAGATGTTCTTTAGTTTAGTTCTATAAATATTTTAATGTCACATAATTATGAAATTGCAGATGTAGACGAATGCTGACATGAGTAGATGGATTGAATTGAATCACTTGGTTTGTTATTTTCATTGTTTTCTGTTATCTTAAGCTGAACTTTTGTTTTCTGTTAGGAGAAGTTATCTTAAGTTATCTTACGTTGCAGCCTTGTCACTGTCGCATATGGGTCAGTATATTTCTCATCTCTGCCTTTTACAGTATGGGTTTTTTCATTGAATCATATCTGTATGTGGGTTTTGATTAACTAAAACCATAATTGGTACCTTTCTTGGCCCTAATTCAAATCAGGTTAAAATCCTGGTCTGGGTTTTACTCTCCTCCACAATTCTATATGACAAGTTATTTTACCCAGATTATCTAGACTTAGCATAGAAGCTCATGCACCTGCTTGTGTGCATGAATTAATAACGATGTTAAAACACTATTAATCTTACTTAATGACAATCATCAATATATAAAGGGAAATGGCCAGCATATATGAGAACTCAACTTGACTTAAATCATGCACCCACCTGCTATTTGTTAATAACTCGAGCATCTTACATTCAGGCTTTCCCCTTGTTTTTGTAGCATCTTCAAAGGTATGTACTTAAAATTCCAGTGATGGCCTGATGGTCTTGATGCTCCTAAAATAAATTGTCTTTGTGGACTTTCTCACATGATATTTATTTTTAATTTTATATTCTCTTGCTACTCATTATCTTCATCCAGCTTGCCCATTTTTTGAATATTTTTCTTGGTGCTTCTGCAATTGGTAATTTAGTACCATGTAAATTGTAATTTCTTCTCTCTTGTAAAATTTCTTCGCTTAACTAATTAGATAATCATGGATGATGCAACAGAGTAAAAGTAACCTACATGAGCTTTGGCTCTTTGATAACATTCCTCTAGGGCTGCAAGAATATTATTTCATCATTTGGATTACCATAAAAAATTGCTTACTTTCTCTTTCTCTCTGTTGTCATTATACAGTGAATTATCATTACCATTCGAACAACTTACATCAGTTTTTAGTAAAAGAGTCTCATCTTTAGCCCAAATTTTTAAACTTCCTTATAATGCTAAATTTGACTATTTACTACTATAAAACACTACTTTATCATGCATCTTCCTCGATAATTATTGATTCCATGTGCTATTCTACAGCACAAATTCCAACAAACTTTTTGATACTTAGGTTGAAATTAAAATATTCCAATGTCTTCATCTCCTTGATGATGAAATTCAATTAACTCAAAGTCATACATGTACACATGTTCGCAATGAGATAGTTTGCATTGCTTAGAATCACATACAGTTTAAAGTTTGAATCGAAAACACTTGGTACTTCTGAAATGCTTGTCTTCTAAAAGGCTACCATGTGTTCGTCCCATCAAACAGGGATTTGCTTTTTGACATTTTTGTTGTTGATGTTCTAAACTTTTTTTTTTTTTTTCATTTGATGACTTCTATCATTTCTATTGCAGATGTCTCACTATTTTTGGCTTTGAAAGTGGTGACCCTTCTTGTGGTGAAATGTGGGTATAAATGTATAAATCAATTGTCAACTATTGTAGCTATTTTATTTTTGTCTATGGTTGCCATGGTTTAGCATTGACAAGCTATATAGCGGAAAAAATATTAAATTTCATGATTTAACTTTGAATGAGTTAGATAAAAAAAATTAGGTGCATTTTTTTTTTATAAGTTAGATACTTAATGATTTAGTTTCATTCTTGATTTATTAATTAATGCATTATATTTGTTATTTTGGGAATTTTTTACAATGAAAGTGGTTAGTTATCTTTGTCTAGGTAGGTAGGTATTCATTGTGTTGTGTGTGGTTGTGACGATTATGATGATTTGGGGCAAACTCTTTTAAAATGTTTGTAAATTCCAATGGTAAATCGTCGCAAATAAATCCAACTTCAAAATTGCATAGTTCAGTCTCCTTTTAATCCGTAGGAGAATCTTGCATTTGAAGGGAGGCTTTCATATCCCATTGCCTTGGGTTGCAGAGTTTCTGCCATTATCTCTTGGGATATGCATGAGAATTACATTACATTACATACTCTTTAAAATATAAGTCAATTCCAATTATATACATTTATTAGTGTTCCAGGGTTGTTTTTCTTGACTGATTTTCTTTCATGGCTTGTGTTGTTTTCTCTATGCAGGTCAGTGCTAGCTTTATGGATGCTTGCATCTTTGGGACGATTAAGCGTTTAGTTTTTTTGTTTTAGCTTTAGGCCAGCTTAGGGAGGTTCGGTCCATTTGTCTTCCTGTTAATGTTGTTTTCATCTATACTTGCTTTTTTGTTTTAGGTTTTTTAGCTCTACTCAGATGAAGGATTGATCTGTTTGCTTTTTGTATACATGTCCCCTTATTATGTTCTGTCCATTTTTTTTTTCTCTAGAAAAAGCATTGAATGTGTTAGATACTGAAAAAAAAAAATAGTTTTGTATAATCTTATGAGTAGTCGAAGTATTCAAAATTTGATGTTACAAACAATATTTTTCTTTTATAATTGGTATTTTATTGACTTTATCTATCAATGGGTGTATTATCCACAAAACCCTTTTGCCTCCTCTGTCTTTTCCTAATCTTCCATTTCAATCTTGATCTAATCCCACTGTCTGAATCTGCATCTGATTACTCAACCTTAGTCTACAAGGGTTGTGCAAAGCAAGAACTATCAGACCCAATTGGGGTTTACTTAGAAGCAATCTCAACACTTTTATGGTCTCTGATTTCACAGTCCTCCAATGCCAAGATCTTCAAAACCACTACTGGTAGTGGCTATGGCTGCTAACCATAGAGAGAGAGAGAGGGGAAAAGAAAATCAAATCAGATCGGATTATAGGATCGGATATCTATTTAAAATGGATCGGATCGGATTACACGTAATCGGATTTCTTATATTCGGATTCGGATTCGGATTAATGGTTAATCGGATCGGATCGGATCAGATCGGATCGAATTTCGATTGATCCGACTTGGATCTGACCCGTTGACAGGCCTAGCTCAACCCATTAGATTATCGTCATTTAAGAATCTTCTTCGATGCAGCTAACTTAGAAGGAACTTCACGCCAAGCAGTGGGCCCCACATCCGTCTTTTTTTTTTTTACTTATTTTGTGACTTCTCAGTATTATTATTATTATTATTATTATTATTAGGGTGAATTACACTAACAACCCCGATAGTTTAGACTTTATCACTTTGATTCTTGAATTTTTAATTGTGACGTATTTAATCCTGAATTTTGAATCATGTTCCAAATAAGAACAATTGAAGATACGATTACTCAATTTTAACAGCAAAGTCGTCAATTTGATAAAATATAAACTAATTTGATAAAAATAAATGTCCAAAAATATTTTTGATTTTTTAAAAATTATTTTTATTCACTAAAGATAAAATTATGTAAAATTGATAAATTTTCTAGATATTTATTTATTCATTTTTATCAAATTAATTTCTATTATGTGTTTGGATGGTGATCATGTAATGGGTGGATGTTTTTATTTTCATTAAATTAGTTTATATTTTTTCAAAAGTCAAATATGACAATAACTTTGATATCGTTATTAAACCAATTCATTAAATCAAAAAGCCCAAAACTAAAAACATTTCATATATTAAATATATTGATTACATATTAAAAACCTAACAACCACCCATTACATGATCATCATTCAAACACATAATAAAAATTAATTTGGTAAATAAATAAATAAATAAATGTTTAGAAAATTTATCAATTTTATATAATTTTATCTTTGGTGGGTAGAATTATTTTAAAATTTTAAAATATTTTTTTGACATTTATTTTTGTCAAATCAATTTATATTTTATCAAATTGAAGATTTCGCCCTTGAAATTGAGCAAATGTATCTTCAATTATCCTTATTTGAAATAAGATTCAAAATTCAAGGTCAAATGTGTCACAATTAAAAAGTCAGGAATCAAAGTGACACGAGTCTCAAATTATAAGGACTGTTAGTGTAATTCGCCCTTATTATTATTTTGCTAATGTTTTTTTGGTTTTAATTTGAAATGGGTGGTTTGGGATGTTCAAAATAAGTATACTTTTTGACTTTTTATATAAAAAAAAATGTGTAAAAAAGTAGAGAAAGTGGTAAGAAAATTAGAGAGTAGATGTTGATAAATTCCTCTATGATCTTTTTCAAGTACTCATCTTCACATTGCTTCTGTTTGATTTCTCCAATAATTGTAGGTTGAGCGGAAATAACAGCTAAAATCCCACCTTGCTCTCGCAAGACAATTTCAATCTCCTTCTGTTCCAGGTCATCTAGCAATTCTTTTCGATTGGACAGCAAACATGGCAAATTTGTAATGGATTTTCGGCTCAAGGCATCTGCCACGGTATTTGCCTTCACTGGATGATACAGAATCTGTAGATCGTAGTCTTTAATCAACTCTAGTCACCTTCGTTGTCTCATGTTCAGTTCCTTTTAGGTAAAGAAATATTTGAGGCTCTTATGACCTGTATACACTTCACAAGTTACACCATACAAGTAGTGACGCCAGATTTTCAAAGCAAACACCACTGCTGCCAATTCAAGATCATGTGTTGGGTAATTCTTTTCATGAGGTCGGAGTTGTCGAGAAGCATAGGCAATCACTTTTCCATTTTGCATTAACACACACCCCAAACCTTTGTAGGAAGCATCACTATAAATTTGAAACCCATCAGTACCATTGGGCAAAGTTAAAATTGGTGCAGTCACTAACCTAGTTTTCAACTCTTGAAAGGCTGCCTCTCTTTGTTCGTTCCAATCAAATGACACATTTTTCTGAGTTAACTGGGTCAATGGCATGGCAAGTTTGGAAAAGTCTCTCACAAATCTCTTATAGTAACCTACAAGTCCCAGAAAACTTCTAACCTTTGTCACATTTGTCGGTTTAGGCCAGTCCACAATAGCTTCAATTTTCTGAGGGTCAACAGAAATACCATCTTTGTTGATTACATGACCCAAAAATGCCACACTGTCAAGCCAGAATTCACATTTGGACAATTTAGCGTATAATTTCTTTTCTCTCAAGGTCTGTAGAGCAATTCTCAAGTGATTCTCATGCTCTTCCCTGCTTTTGGAGTAAATCAGGATATCATCAATAAATACAACAATAAATTCATCCAGAAATGATTTAAACAC